AAAGAGACACCCAGATGTCATATAACATTTCCCAGCCGGTCATTCTAAACTGGTCTCCCAGTCATACCACCACATCTCTTGCACTGGTGAAGAATCTGACATACTTACAAACACATGCAGAGCTGTGGATGGGACTCGAACCTCTGCACACACTCCTGACGGAGCCTCAGTGTTTTCAGGTGAAGTGCTGAAGGAGCTGGCACTTCGACGCCTACTGAGAGAGAAATCACAATCACCGTGGTCAGGCAGGACAGACTGACACACACACCAACACACAGATCAAGTAAGTTATGGCTACATACCCAAACATGTTGGAGATGGAATCCAGCAGACCACCAGGAGGCGGCTGAGAGATTTTCTTACTGGAGAAACAAACCTTTGTTTTAACAGATCAGCAGAAAACAGAAGGACTAAAACTCTGCCACCTGAGAGTGGTGAGAGAGAACAAGTGTGTTGTCAACACAACTGTTTTAGCTCTGAAGTTGTTAGCGCAGTAAACCAGTTGCTCCATAAGGCAGAATGTTTGGACAGCCTGTCACACTTTCGTACAAATTGGAGTTACTTCTGAAACTCATGACATGACATTCAACAGTTTGACAGATGACAGATTATAAATCCTCTTGACATGTTAAAATCCTTCTGGGATCAAACCTGTTACCAGACAAAACACTCATAAAGCACTGGTCTTTCACCATTCATCAGCTGGAATTTAAAAGTTAATGCCAGTGTGTGTGTGTGTGTGTGTGTGTGGAACCTAGAAAGGGAGAGTGACGCAATGTCCAGGACAAAGGTAACATCTTGTTTTGTTGTGTGAAACCTGAAGATTTTTCTTTTGCTCTCATATGGGCCAGAGCATAGCAGCAAACCCTCACAGTACAGAACCAGAGAATAACTTTGTATTTTCATTTGAAAACTCAACAGATTTTCTGTTGAGTGCCTATAAGATTAATCACTGCAGAGTATATATTCTTTTAAATTATTTCCTGGTTTAATGGAAAAGATACTTAAAAATCTGACAAAGACGTTATGTAAAAGTAAACATAAAAACTATTTACAGTTTGTGTGAATGTGTACCAGTTTAACCACTGCCTGCAGCAGGTCAGGTAGTGGTCTCACCTGGGAGTTCTGCTGAGTGGTCTGTTTGGTGAGGTCTCTCCTCCCCCCTTCCCTGCATCCTCTGCCAGAACCTCGATGTCATCATCCCTGCAGAGAAACAGAGTGAGGTGAGAACTGACGTTAAGCTCTGACACGCTAGCAGAATAAAAACAGAAGTTTAATCTACTGACGGCTCTATGGGCAGAGGCTCTTTGGCAGCGTCTGCCAGGTCCTTCTGCAGTTTGGCCTGCCTGCGCCTGAAACACAGCACAGTCAGTCAGAGAATTCAAGAGGGATGGAATCAGGATGTCCTCCTCCATGTGTCCTGCGTACCTGCTGTCCTTCTCGTTCTCAGCGTTCAGCCTGTTGGCCTCCTGAGCTTTCTCTGCCATCCACCGAGACACCAGCTCCTGGTTGTCCTCTGTGGTTTTCCTCAGTTTCTCTTCCAGAGCAGAAAAGGTGATCTGCAGGGCGTCATACTCGTCCTTCAGGGTCTGATTGGCCCTCTCCAGGTCCTATAGACACACAGGCTGAGGTGAGGCTGCCTGGTTTGTTGCTTCCAACACAAGTCAGACAGAATAACATCTCAGTAGAGATGTAAGAACATTGTACATGTGCACTGAGCCATTGTAGTGGAGTCTAATTCATCATGTGTTCAACACACCTAGCCAGTAAAGCTGATTCTGATGTCGAACACTAGAAACACCTGACTGGGGTCTATTTTCCCACTTCATGTTCCCTGCCTGTTCAGATACTGAACATCACAGCTCTCTCCTCCTCCTCCACAGCCTGACGCTTTGTGCTGATTAGTTCTTTTGGATGGCAATCACATTGAGGCTGCAGGACCTCTGAAAAGACTGATAACACTTTTCTGTCTGTCATCAGCCAGCATCACACAACAGGCCCGTTTGAGATGTACTGCGCCTGGTCAAGAGACAAGAGCAGACAGCAGCAGGAGGGGGTGCTGCCAAACAGCCACAGGAAAGACGGACAGTTTAGGAACTTTTCACCAGCCTTCACTCTGTACAGGAAGTCAGCAACACTCACATCCTGTTAGATCCCGATTTAATAAAATGTCAAACTTTTCAGCTTCTACTCGGGGACCAAACTTTAATGACATTGTGCTATATGACAGAGTGATAACATGCTGATCCAAGTTGATTTCCATACTATCACTCACATATAGTGCCTCAAAATGCATCTGAGCTGCATTTCTCACATAAATCATCATCATCATATCAGTTTGCTGCTGTATTTGAGCCGACCAGGGTCAATTTGATATGGAACTCAGTTTCCGCTATGTACATTTTGCAGGGGCGGGCCACTACTGTAAAATTATTCCCACCGCCGCTTCAGAATTTTAAGAAATAACATTGCAATTACAGAACTCTGCATAGAACTTTAATTTGAGATGACAGATACATGAAACAGATGTGTAGCACCACCTGGCTGAAGGGGGGGGGGGGGCTAGACTGAACCAACATTGTCAGATTTTACAGTTCAACCCTAACGACCCATTACTCTTCATTCCATATCTCAAAGTAATCTTACTAATTTCCTCGTTGTGAATAGTCTCACAAAATAAACAGCACGGCTGTGGACCAGGAGTTAGAGTGGCTCGTCTCATAAACGGAGGATTATTAGTGTTTTGATCCCGGGCTTGTCCAGTCCACATGTCGAAGTGTCCCTGAGCAAGACACTGAACCCCCAGGTGTCCCCAGTGATGACACCAGTGCGTGCAAATGGCCAAATAGTGTGAAAGAGCTTTGAATGTGCTGTAAAAGCATAGAGAAGCGCTGTACAAGTATAAGACCATTTTCCATTCATAATCATTAGGCCTGGAATCTCTACGCTGTTGCACATTCATGTGAGCTTGCTTGACATCCACTGGTGCCCCCCCCCATATTGGAAAAATGTTATACTGCCTTGTTTGTAATATGCATTTTCAATAAAGCTCATTTAAAAAGAAAAAGACGACATCCACCGGTGCCACTGTAAATACTGGGTTTTTCGACTGCGCCTGGTTTTGTGGATATATTTTCCCTCCTGCTGCTGCACTGTGACAAGAGGAAAAATACAGGGCCTGAGATTACTGGATGTCTGTGGATGTTCCTGTACAGGGACTCACTGTTTTACCTGACCGGGTCTAACCTACAAGCAGCCAGCCTGTGAAACCCCTGTGGCGGTGAATGATCAGCTCAACACTGGATTCCTCCAGAGCACAGTACCTGTTTGTCCTGACTGCCTGAGGCCAGTGTGTCTGCTGCATGTGATGTGTTGCTGGTTAACCAATGGATTAATGACCCATGATGGGAAGAAAAAAAAAACAAAACAAAACAAAAAAAAACTTGTGAAATGTATTTGTCGAATCCTTTCACTTAAAAGTTGTGCTTGCGCTCTTTTCAGGATGTTCCCCACCCTGTATCCTTACCGGAGAGCCGAGCCACAAACTTCCCAGACATGTCAAACACCCAGACATAAACAGAGTGATGTGGTGTATGCAATTAAGTGTAGTCAGGAGTGTAACGACTTGTACATTGGTGAAACTAAGCAGCCGCTTCACAAAACGCATGGCCCAACACAGGAGAGCCAACTCCAGTGGACCAGAGTCAGCGGTCCACCTCCACCTGAAGGACAAAGGACATTCTTTTGAGGACAGTGAAGTCCAGATCCTCTCCAGAGAACATCGCTGGTTTGAGAGAGGAGTTAAGGAAGCTATTTTTGTAAAAATAGAACACCCCTCACTAAATAGGGCTGGTGGACTAAGACACAACTTGTCTTCCATCTACAATCCTGTTGTGAGATCTCTGCCCAAACATGTCCACCAGGACAATAGGCGTCGGTCGACAGGGGAGGCTTCAAAGACAGGTAACGACTCTCACCGATACTGGGCTATAACGATTCAGTCGTTAAGGGACATTGTTGGCCTGAACTGAAACACCACTGACAGGGATATATATCTCCGGCTCAACACCAGTCAGTCAGAACTGATGAAGCCTCTTGGATGAGAGGTGAAACGTCTAGAAATCTAAGTCCAGTTGATTTTTTCTAAGGTTTTTTCAGCTTACTACAACCTGGATGACTGAGAATCTGCAGACAACGATCCATGATGTTATTGTCGGTGCTACGCTACCTGTTGGAATTAATTTCACTGCTTTGGGACTATATGTGTTTGTGTGGGGGAAGACGCAGTGACTAGTTACTATGTTTGCATTATGCCAGTTAAAATATGGCGTTTCTCAGTTACCCGCTGTTAGAAATTAATAAGTCAGTCAGATAATTATTAGACTTTAATGTGTTATTAATGCAGTTTAGTAAGATTCAAAGTCTGCTCATGTGTGCTCTGCTTCAAGGTTAGAAGATAATGATTCTGAGAAGGGTACCTTGACACCAGTTATTTTTGTATTAATCTTGTGTAAGAATTATGTCTAAAAGAATGTTTTTGTTGCACATCGTGCATACAACATACACTCACACATGGAATTCTTCATTTTGTTATGTCCAGCTGCTCCAAGCATGTGGAGCTCTAGATAAGAGAACGAGACGTCAGACTGTCTCCAACTCCTGTTTTTACAGCTGTCTATGTAAGGGGTTAGCCCAAAACCTTGTAAATGTATTAGGCTCTGTGTTTTCGGGGTCTCTCTTCTCCAGCAGCTTGTCTGTGGGAGGGAGCCACCCAGGCTTGTGCTTCTGTAACTTTTATTTGTGGTCTTTTTTAAATAAACCAGCACTAAAATGAAGCAAGTCGGACTCCGTCTTCATTCAGATCTGTTCAATAGAAGAACTGGGGTATAACAACTTGGTGCCGTGACCATTGGAATTGGCCGAATTCTGAGCGGACGGTCCGAATCGGCTTGCTGGATTCCATGTCGTGAGTGAACGAACTGCACAGATCAACATCGGCCGACAAACAGGTGAGCAGGAAACCTATTTACACATAAATCCTGCACCTTGGACTTTGCCAAATTTAGTTGATCTGTGTAGACTGTGAAGTCTTGATCTAAATTTGAATGATTACAGTAAGGATAAAATAACACTTTTATTTTGAAATGTGCCGTTTTGTTTATGCCATATCTTATTACAAGCACATAGTCTCATTTGAGGGACAGAGAAATAAGTGCCCTAGTTACTAATTGATGACTATCAGAGACATAAAACTCACATTAATAAGTGGAAAACCACAAATTTTGACGTCGTCTCCAAAATTATTATGATTTTTGCTCCGGTGGGAAAACAGGCTTCCTGAAGGCAGAAATCAGAGGCAGAGCCCTTCTCCGAGTGGAGCACATTCCTGAATGTCTAAATATTTATAAGACGATCACCGCTGTATGTTAAATGATTGAGGGCACAGGGAAATATTTTTTTATTTTTAATATACTTGTGTGGGTGGTTTGCTGCACGAAGGCTGTTGAACACTGTCGTGTATCTTAGTGGCAATAAGTGCTATGGAGAGAATTCGATGTGACACAGTGTGCCTCTGGCAGAACTGTCTTTGGGGGCTGGGCATAGTCTGTGGGAAAACTGTTTTATAGAAATTTAGGGTGACGGCATCTTCAGTGGAATTAAAACAAAACTGTTGATTGGGTGAACCCCCAGCAATCGGGTGCACCAACCTAGTTGGTGTAGAAGGTTTCCGACCGAATCAAGCAGGTTCTGGACAGAGACCATTTCACTTGGAACATCAGTCACGTGTACATAATTTTTAATATGTCTGCAAATGTTGTACAAGACTGGGAAAAGGCCAAGCCTTACTCTTTGGGGGCAGTACTCTATAAGTTTTTGTTTAAATGGTTACATACAGTTTCTAAAGATGAGCAGGACAAAGCAAGAGATAGTTTTATTTTCTGGGTCCTACAGATGTAGAAGAAGGGCATGCTTGCGGACAGTGACAGTCCTCCCCCACAAGGGGATGCTATAGGGCTGTTTTTGAAGTGAGCCTCGCTTTCTGCTGAGAAAAGCTAGACTGCAAACTTAGTAGCTGTACCTCTTTGATAAGAAATACAGTTGAAGCCAGATTTAGAAAAAAGGCTGAGAGTTTTCTTGCTGGTTGTACATGTTTTTTTAAAGAAGTTTCAAGTGTTTTCAGTCTCTTTCAGCCAGTTCAAGCAAGTCACATGGGACAGTTAAAGTCAATTCTCCAAGTGGCACTGGAGACAGACATTCCAGTCCCAGCTGCACATCTTACCAGAGATTGCAAAGTACAGTTCATATACACACACAGTCATCTTCCCCACAATATCTATGTGGAGAGCTGAAGCCGATATTGAAGAGTGGCTTATCTAGACAGATACCACAGAGTGCAACTCAGGACATGGCGCCCCTGGCGGTTGTACAGGGAGGAGTTTTGCACACAGCCTCATTTCCAGGAGGTAAAACTGACAGATTTAGAGCACAGACTTATCTAAATGAGTTAAAATCTCATTGTTTAGACCAGGTCACAACTCCAGTTGTCGGTGCTCCTGCCTATTTCACAGATGAGAAAGAGGATAGGCACTTTTGTGATTTTACAGTGCCA